AAGGATATCATGTTTGGTAAGGTGAGGGCCAGAGAAGAAGAGGAAGACTCCCAATGAGATGGACTGGCAAAATGGCAACATCAATGGGCTTAAGCGTGGCAACAATTGTGAGGCTGGCCCAAGACCAGGCAGTGTTTCGTTCTGTTGTACATTGGGTCGCTATGGGTCGGTATCAACTCGATGGCACCTGACAACAACAACAACAAGTTGAAAGCCAGCAAAAATGAAGGAGAACCTCAAGGAGATGGGTCGATACAATGTCCACAACAATAGACTCAAATAGACCAAGGATCCTGACATTGGTGAAGGATCAGGTGACATTTCCTTCTGCGCTGTAGGATAAGCACTAGACTGCTAACCAGCAAGGTTGGTGGTTCAAACCCACCAGCTCATCCTCAAAAACTGCTCTAGAGAGTCCATATGAGTCAGAATCAACTCTAAGGCACTTAACAACATCAGCAACATACATAAGGCTGCCGTGAGTCAGAGCTGACTGGACAGCAGCTAACAAGAGCGACAACAAATAAGAAATGAGGGAACCTCTGGTTCCTGTCCGTATACTGTTCACAAGCTAGAGATGAGAGAAAAGATACTGAAACAGTCATTGTGACTCAATATAGAACAGAGCTTCCTACTGCAACAGAAGTTCAGAACTAGGGTAGGAATATGGAAGGGGAAAATGAAGTCCCCTTGAGAATGTGAACATACAAGACGGAGGTTTTCTGGCACTAGGTCATCATTACTCTTCTACTCAGTGCAGCTTTCTGAGAATCTTGAACATTGCTCATCAAAACATGGTGAAAGCCCAGAGTGGTTAATCTTATGGTTTCTCTGAGTAGGAAGACCACAGGGCCAGTGGAAGCACTTTGTGCTACAGAAGAGGAAAGATCCTCTGCTTTTATACCCACTATCCCCTCCCCCGAGGGTGAGAGGCAGTTTCCAGTGCATTCTGGTAATAAGGGTGTGGTGCTGTAGGATAAGCACTGGACTGCAAGGTTGTTGGAAGAGCAAGGCTGTTGGTTCAGACTCGCTAGCCGCTCCTCAGAAACCCTATATAGGGTTGCTATGAGTCGGAACCGACTCGACGGCACCTCTCAGCATCAGCATCAGTTGAAATATAAGGAGCTCTGGTGGCGCAGAAATGTAAGCACTAGACTGCTAGACACAATATTGACAGTTCAAACCCACCAGTTGTTCCTCAAGAGAAAGAGTTTTCTACACCTACAAAGAATTACAGCCTTGGAAACCCTATAAGAAGTTGGAACCAACTTGATGGCAATGAGTGAGTTAAAAAATCATTAAAATTGTCAAAACAGTGACAACAGTGCATTAAACAAAGAATGGGGGCCCTGCTGAGTACAAGGCTCTGTGCAACCTACCTAGAAAGACCTACCTGGCCCCTCAGTGGGAAATGGATACAGTAGGAATCAGCTGGGTCTCAGTGACCTCTGTATGATATCTCCATGATACATACGTTGTAACAGCAGGTAATACTTATGAGCACTTACTATATGCCAGACACTCCTCTCAGCCTCTTGTGTGTATTAATGAATCTATTCCCCCAAGGTAGGCCCTATTACTACCTTCATTTTAAAGCGAAGGAAACAGGGGTTCAGAAGAGAGGTGTAGTAAGTTGATCAAGGTCACACAGCCATTAAGTAGTGGATCCAGAGCCCATGCTCTTCACCACTGGGCTTCTCTTGTCTCACCATGAGCACTAACTTCCACAGAATTCTCCTAATTCTCCTAGCCAAGGTCCTGGTAGCATAGTGGTTACGAAACTACCAGCTGTTCCGCGGGAGAAAGATGAGGTTTTCTACTCCCATAAAGATTTACAGCCTCGGAAACCCTGTACAGGGTCGCTATGAGTCGAAACCGACTCCACGGGACATAACAACAACAACAACAACCCTAGCCAAGTATAGCAAGCCATGGAAAGAACAGAAAAAATAAAACAAAACCCATCACTGTTGAGTGAATTCTGACTCAGTAACCCTATAGGATAGAATCGAACTGCCCCACAGGATTTCCAAGGCCGTGATCTTTAAGGAAGCTGACTAACGCGTCTTTCTCCCGTGGATCGATGGCTGGGTCCAAATGGCCAGCCTTCCAATTAGCAGCTGAGCACCAACCACCATGAAGCCAGTGGTCACTCCCACATCATGTCCAAGTCTACATATGCAATCCAATATAGAACTTACTTTTTTTTTTTTTGTATTGTAAACTGAGTGATAATTTACATGGGAGAACATCGGCTTTACACCATTGTTTCATTGGAATGATTACAATCTCCTCTGTGCATCATCATTCAATAGTATTTGCTTCTATTCCCTCTGTTATTTTTGTGTGTGATGGGATGAGGGGTGGGGGGATGTACACAAAAACACTCAGGAATATATAATAATTCAAACAACCAAAGGGCACATTCTGCAAGCCTGCCTCCTGGCTGCTAGCACACAGCCTTTCTCTTTCCATGAATCTAGAGTCCTCAGCTGCTCCCTCTCTCCATGTCCTCACTTTTGCCTCCATCTCTGGTGTCGCTGCTTCTCTGGATAGGGTCCCACATTCCGCTTGTGTTCTTCTCCCTTGATGGTCCTAGGGTCTTCTGTTTCTGGACTGTGTATCTAACTTACTTTTATGTTATAGTTTGTTTTTTTAAGGATGCTTATGTAAAACAAAATTGTTGCTGTTGTTAAGTGTCGAGTCAGTTCCAACCTGTAATGACCCTGTATTATAGGGTTTCTGAGGAATGGCTGGTGAGTTTGATTCACCAACCTTGCAGTTCAAACCAACCTTTAAATTGAGTGCTTATCCTAGAAAGCCACATCAGGACTCCAAAACAACACAGATAAGGAGAAAAAAAATGCAACCCTACAAATCTAACATAACACTGGCAACACATTGGCATGTTGCTTGCTGCTTAAGTGCTGTCAAGTCGGTTCCCGTTCATAGTGATACTGTATAGGGTTCCGAGGAGCAGCTGGTGGGTTTGAACCACCAATGTTGTAGCTCAAACTGACCCTGCAATCCAGTGCTTATCCTGAACTTCACCACACCAGAACTTCATACATTGGCATATATACTTCTAATCATTGAACATATTTCTCCAAATGCATCATATTACATTTTATACTTACTGATCTATAGTGAAGCATTTGCTAAGTCTCCAAATATTCTTTTATAACGTTATTTTTAATGACACATCAGTGTTCCATTGCATTTGTATGCGATGATACACTTAACCACTCATGTAATGTTGTGTACTATTTTTGCTATTTAAAATAGTCCCGTGGTCACATTTGTGATGCTAAATTTTTGGATACATCATCATAATGCCCTAGAGGAATTCTTAGGAATGGAAAGAAGCTAAAAAGGTAGTCAAGAAGCAAATTATGTTTACTTAAACATCAGTGGTCATACAACCAATCTGGATGGAGAAAAACAGAAACACCAGTTGCTTCACAGTGGTTACCCTGACGCTGTGTGTGTCAGAGGAGAATTGTGTTTCATAGAGTTTTCAGTGGCTGATTTTTTCAAAGTAGATGGTCAGGATTTTCTTCCAAGGCACCTTGGCGTAGGCCCGTACCTTCCACCTTACAGACAGTAGTCAAGAGCATTCACTGTGCCACCTAAAACCAAAAACAACCAAACTTGTTGCCATCAAGTCATTTCTGATTCACCGAAATGGCCTGTGGGCTTCCGAAGACTGTAAACTTCATGGAAGTGGACTGCCCACATCTTTCTCCTACAGAGCAGCTGGCAGGTTTGAACCCTTGATCTTTTGTTAGTGACTGGTATGCGGTGGCATTGCAACATAGCAAACGTTTTACTGGTGGCCTACTGTGTCACACACCTTCCTGCTGTGCACACACTGGGTCATGCCATCAACACCCTCTCATGGTCTGTTGTATGCATCAATCCATCTTTGTTCTGTCACCTGTCTTCTAGATTGTGGCCAAGAAATACCGCAACTACAATATCCCAGCCGAGATGACCGGCCTGTTGCGGTACCTCAAGAATGCCTATGCCCGGGATGAGTTCACCAATACCTGTGCAGCTGACAACGAGATCGAGATGGCCTACGCAGATGTTGCCAAGCGCCTCAGCCGGTCCTGAGCATGGTCATCCTGACCCATCACTGCTCAGAGGACTCAGTCTCTTCAAAGGACTCCGCAGCTTCACAGCCTCCTCTTTCATGTTGCCTCCAGAATTTTTTTTTTTTTTTTTAAATTTTTTATCATAGCCACCTCTTGCTGACTTCACTGGAATCACCCAGCCTGCTGGCCTGATATGGGTTCATTGTATTTGGAGTCTGTGTTAGGAAACCCCAGTGTTGGAAACCCATTTCCAATGATTGTCATTGGTCCCTTCTGCAAAGTCAAAATATATTCTGAGATGCATTAGAAAAATGCAATGCTGGCTCCTCTTCTATCCTTTCCTTGTCAGTAACTCCAGTGGCCAAGGACAAATACCATCTTCATTCTTAAAAACAAGAGTTCTGATGCCCTGCTAGGGGAGACAGAGAGAATGAATGGAGGAGGAACACGCTGGCTGTGAAGTTGGCATCTGGCAAACACATCGTCAATGACCAGTTTCTGACACTCCTGGCATTGGGCATTGATGGCACAATTGGAAAATCACTTCAGACACTCCATTCTCCATTTGCTGCAGTGACAGGCACGTAGCAATGCAGCTGAACACTTGGCAGGCATTGATCCTTGTTTTCATGCCATCCACACCTTGCCAAGGAAGGAAACTGGCATGCAGCCTCAAACTGGGATGACTGGGAAGGGATGGGGAGAGGGAGTAGTGTCAATGCCAAAAGGCCCACAGGGTCTACCAGCCATGGGGTTTGCTTGCTTAACGGTAGATATTTCAGTGGAGATGAAGACATGCTTAGGTGTAACAATGTTTATCAATGGGTGCTTTCTTTGTGAGAAAGGCGCATGGGAGCAGGAGATGGAAGTTTGGGTGAAAATAAAGGGGTCCTTAATGAGGTCTGATGTTCTCTGGGAATCTTCTAGGTAGGTCTTCTCTCTCATGACCTAAGTCTTGGACTAATGATGTCATGTAACTACCAACTTTATACCAAAACATAACAAGAACTGGCCAAAATTTAATTTTCCAGTCTCTCCAAGTGTCTCCAGGATGTGGATCTGCTAGTTGAGTGATCCCATTCGATTCCGTTGTAGTCTCTGAAAACTGAGAGATACAGTTAGTAGGTAGCATGATCATGGGATTCCTTAGGACAAAAGTCCATGGGCCTTTCTGACTGGGAAGCCATGTGACTTGAACTTGGAAAAATACTTATCTAGGTTATTTTCCCAACCTTCAACTACAACTGCTATGTTTTTGGCTAATATTTCACGCCTTAGTTGTTCACCTTTGAGCTTCACCTCCTCAAACCTTACCTGGTCTGAGCATGGGGACCTGTGCAAAGAAAACTGAGAAAAAATGAACTAATCATCAACTCCCTCTCTCCGTGGATGCCCTGTGAGGAAATCCATCCGCCACAAGCCCTCGCCTCTCACAATCCTTCCTTCTATGTAGCTTGTTGTTCGAGGGCGAGGCACCAGAGTGCCGGAAAGCCGATGGACTTGGCTCATTTCTCAGCTAGGGCAGGATTGCACGGGTCCTTTCCACAGAAACATCAACACATTCTAACCCCAGAAATCCCTGGTCCCACCTGCCTCCAGGAACCTTTGAAGAAAAAAAGTGACCATTGATTAGAAGAGAGACGGAAGTGGGAGGTCTCCTTTAGCCCAGTGAGGAAGAGGAAACGTCTCAGTAGGACATGTTATAAGCCAGAGAGCTCTGAAAAGGAAGATTGAGTTGATTTATTTCCCCCTTTAAAGGAACCTTTCCATGGAAGCCTTGCCCCTTGAGATGTTTACAAGGGGGTAAGGAAATAGTCATTTTTACTGTAGGGAAATGTTCCTTTGGGGCATGGACGCTTGAAAGACCTGAAGGCCTTTTAATTAGTGTGAAATGCTGTTTGCACTCAAAAATCCCTCCCTCAATTCCCAGAGCAGGTGAGAGGTCCTAAGAGGCCGTTGCTTTCCGGAAACCCCACCATTGTTTGTTGAAGAAGCACTTGTGTGAAGCACAACCAAACTGGACAGAGAGAAATAGCAGGCAGAGCCCGGTGGAGCACCTCCACCCTAAGAGGGAGGGTGTTAACAGGGTACTGATAAATCTGCTATTCAGAATTCAGCAATTGGCAATTCTTTAAAGTCAAACAAGCCCAACCAATTCAATATTGTTTCCAGGGTTTCCTTCTGTGGTTAAGTTACTTCCTACACAAACAATATGGAGCTGGTGAGCTGGCAATGAGATCAATTATACCATTTAAAAGAAGGTGAGAGTCATGTGGTAACCAACTTCAAAACGTTTGTGGGAAAATTCCATTATCTCTTAATTCCATTTTTCCACGAACTTTTTGAAGCCCCTTTGTATAAAAGGAAGAAACTTGCAGGTACTCAAATCATAAATACCTTAGAATTATACTATCTTAAGAGCATGTTTATCATGATCTTTTAAAATAATGATAACATTAATAATACTGCCTTTTGATACTTTTTTCCCAAAATGAGAGTTTTCTTCAGAAACCATGTCATAAGCACAGCAAACCATCTTCCAAAAACAGTGTGAAGATGTCCTCTTGTGTCACAAGAACTCACCTGGGAAGGAAGGAAATGGTTTACTCCAGAATTTTAGAGCTAGCACTTGGAATTGGTCCTGAAAGAATTTTGGTTCCTCAGAAATCATTTCAGGAACACAGAAGAGATCCTGTTTTATTGTATATTCCGTCCTTTGGCTTTCCCTTCACTGTTTGTTTGTTTTTGCGGGGGGGACGGGGGAGTAAGTGGGGACAGAGGCCAGGAGCAAGATTCAAACTCAAAAAATGACTGAGTGGAATTTGCCCAGCTACTCAGTATGGCATATCTTTTAAGGTAATTTAAAAGACATTTGGTAAGGTTTTAGTAGCTATAAAAGAAGAGCTGAATAAATAAAATATTGAATGATCAAGGGTACATGCATCCCCTAATAAAGGAAGTCAAAATGCCTAACAAATCAGAATCACAGATAGAAGCTTGATGATTTTCTTTGAAACAAGAGCTACAGCTACCTGGCACCTAACTACGTGTTGAAAGGTGAGAAACATACTCAATCAGCTTATTGGGCTATGTAATCCCAAACTAGTTTCAGCTGCCCAGGAAATAGCCTTGTCCTTGGAGTTGACTTCTCCTACTAATGGGACCAGAAGGGTCTTGATTTTTCAGTAGCCCGTGGCTGTGCCAAGAGTGAGGTTTCCCTGAGCCATAGTGTTTTCTACCATTCGTCAAATGAAAGAACCAAAGGTCTTCACAGCACCTGTGCAAACTGTTTATCTGCAAGCATACAATACCAAGATGCTTGGTATCATCAGAAAATGAATCATGCCTGGACTAGACCTTGAAGATCTAAAACCTCCAGGAATCAGCAAGGCCTGGACAAATATACTTAAGAAGACAGAGACAGGAAGGCCCACATCGGAGTTGTCCCTTGTGAGAAAAACAGTACCGGTTACCGTCAAGTCAACTCTGATTCATGGTGACTAGTGTGTGTCAGAGGAGCATTGAGCTCCATGGGGTTGTCAGTGGTTAATTTTTTTGGAAGTAGGTCACCAGATCTTTCTTCCAAGGAGCCTCTGGTTGGATTCAAACCTCCAAGCTTTCAGTTAACAGCCACACAGGCTAACCATTGATACCATCCAGGGACTCCTCTCATGGGAAAGCCGAGTCTAAAATTAAATTGGCCAAGTGGCAGCAGATACCCCATGTTGTTGTTGTTGTTAAGTGATGTCGAGTCGGTTCCAATCCATAGCGACCCTGTGCAGGGTTTCCGAGGAGCAGCTGGTGAGCTTGAACCACTGAACTTGCAGTTCAAATGGCTTTGCAGTCTGGCGCATTAACCCACAGCGCCACACCAGCACTCCAGATACTCCTTGTGGCTGTGTGCCGTGGAGTCGGTTCTGACTCATAGCGACCCTGTACAGGGTTTCCGAAGCTGTAAATCTTTATGGGAGCAGATGGCCTCATCTTTCTCCCGCGGAACAGCTGGTAGTTTCGAACTGCTGACCTTGTGGTTCTGTGATATTCTCTTTTTCCCACTGACCAGGAACTATCTTAACAGTAGAGTGAACCAAGTTGCTGGTATCTTTCTCCTTTCCTCTCTAAGCTTTGGTGTGAAATGTGTCATATGCCCAGCAAACCATCTCTTAAAAAGTCTAATGAGGTCCTTTTGTGTCCCAAGAACCAATCCTAAAGGTACCTTGCATTAATACTCAGTTAAAACTAAGTTCAGTGATTCCCACAGGACCACTTCCTTCTTATCACTTATGACATTAAAAGAAATCTTAAGGCAGCACTGAGGAAGAAAATGTACTGTTCCCTCTGATGCATCCTGGGTCTGATGTAGGAGAACAAATTGATCACATTGTTGCCTTGGGGCTTTTTTTTTGCACACACACTTCTATCTATTGCTTGTTAGCGTCTAATCAAACAATTAATGCCCTCCTCATGAAGGCTTATTCTTCTCCCTCTGACAATACTCTCATAAAATCCTACTTTTAGAATTCTTTCATAATTAGGTATGATCCCAAATGTGCGTAACTTTATTTAATGTTAATTAAGGAAATAGATCCTATGTCTACACGACCCCCTCCCCTACCACACACACAATGATATATATATTGCTTCGTTACAGGGTTTGGGCCAATTTATGTTTCTATAATGTCAGCCTGGTTTTGGCAAAACATAGCTTTAAGGATCCAATTATCTAAGATATTTTATTTATAGTTAGTGATTTCACAGTATCAACTATGCATACATATACTTGTAACATAGCCTGCTGACTTTTGAATTTGTCTCACTTTCTTAAGTCACCTGGTTGTCCCCTTTTATAAGTTTGAGAGTTAACTAATTTCGAAAAACAACAACAACAAACATTTCATTTTATAAAGACACTTCAAGTGATGGTTACTTGATTCTCTGGAGACACGAATTGTGGCGATAAAATCACCAGACTCACTTCTAAGCCTTAATAAATGTAAAATGCCTTTCAATTAAGAAATAGTTGAGTGTTTTCGTTCTGAATCTGAATCAGTTAATAAATGTCTTTCCCAGTCTTGATTGGTATTGGCTGATTCCAATAAAGTTGGTT